GTCTTCTGTTAACTATAGTTTCACTCTGGACTCTGTCATCGGCGTTATTTGCGTTTACGTTTTTAGAATTACATCTGTAGGACAAAATTAAATCCTACATAGTTTCGGACAGTATTTCATCAGAAGTTCATATACTAATTGCTTTCAAATGTCCACGGAGATTCTTAAAACTGATCAGATTCCTAAATTGTCTCCCTACCGCTCGGAAACTCACAGTGAAGACCAGTTTAGAAGAAATAGCTACCGAATAGATCCTTTGTTAGAGTTAGAATTAGCAAAAATACGTTTAGCTCATATAGAGAAGGAAATTGAGTTAGAACGCTTACCTCAAAAAGGAAGAGAATATCGTAAACAAGTTGTGGCCGTTTCCGAGAAGAAATCAAATTTGTTTATTATGGAAAGTAACAGTGAACATGATAAAATTCAGATAAACCTGAATGGAAGAAACCCTCCTCGCACTAAATCGACAGATCAGGATTTTTCTAGTTCTCCTTCTAATCATTATGTTCCTCACACAGAGGCTCCCGTTGCATCACTCGAAGCATCAAATGAATTAGCTAAGTCACCTGCCGTTCTGTCAAGTTTTGCTATAGCTAAGAAAGATATTCCGTCTGATTGTGTTCTCGGATCAAATATTTCATCAAGCGTTGTGATTGCTGATGTGTCGAAAGATGCTTCGGTTAATTTATGGACATCATCATCTACAAGTCATGAATCTGCTTCGTGTCCTTTTACTGCATTGGCTAAAGTTGTTACAGCTTCTCAGACAGACTGTAAGGATTCGAAAAATCTAGAAGATTCTGCTAAGGAAGTAGTTGAAGATAAACGGGAAGAAACGTTAACTTTAGCGGAAGTCGACCTAGTTGCAGGTGAAAGAGAAATGCCAGTTATTCGACAGCATTGCCGAGCTCATAATTCCGATGCTAATAAACAGAGGTGTAATAATCTTGGACCTTTTCATTTCGAGTTAAATGATGTACACAACAACGGTGCTGAAAAGAATAACGAATCTCTCTGCAGGTCACGGGAAGTAGTACGTTTAGTGTATGATGGCAGACTGTTGATTAATACTCTCAGTTGGTTACAAATGCCTGCTGCTCTAGTTGACTCACGAACTTTGAGAATGGTTGCAATTAATGAGGTGGGTAGTTATGTAATGGCTGCATGGCGCAACGACTTCCAATATCTTGCTGAGGTTCTAGCCCATCGTCAGCGACATGGTACAAGAGCAGAGTATCGCCTACGTTATATTTGGGATCGCGTTGTAGAATGGACACCCGTCAGCAAGTTACGCAAAGCAACTCAGTACGAAATCGATTATGTCTTAAAATTCTGTGAAAAGCAAGGTACACTATCCACAAATAAAATCCCTAGTAAATTTGATCTGCAGTATTCATGTAGTAGTAGCAATGATTCTGCATCGGGAACATCTCAAGCTAAAAGAATAAGGACAAATGTGTCAGAAAGCAAGTCAATAGACCGCACTTCGGATCCTGAAACACATCGCTATCGGTCACGTCCTACTCATGTAAGTACAAGTGGTTTCTCTGTCTTAGAAGACAAGAAGACTCTTCTTCCAAAATTATTTGATGAAATCATCGAACAGGATGGGATGGTTTGTGATAAGAGTGTTTTCCAGTTTCACGAAGCCTGTCGAAGACGTCGTGAATTGAAAAGAAAAGCTATCGAAGAGAACGACACATGTCCATACGGATTTGACAGTTCTGTATCTGTTTTGAGTCAAACATTCACCATCAGGTCAAACCATCAGAACAGACGTGGTCTTAATTCAAAACATAATTCTATAAGAACCGAAAATTATGCAGCGGAAGCTACAGTAGCATCCTCACCGGTATCATCGAATTCATTTTGCCAGAAAAGTGATAAAATAAAGGGAACCATTACCCTATGCGGACCCAATGAGATGTGTAAACGAACGCTGGGAGTAGAGCGGAATATCCGAGCGGATGAATCATTTGTCAGAGTTCACGTGTTTCCTGGAAACCTGACCAGAAGGAATATTTTGTCGTTTATAGCATTAATCTTTGATCCCGGAGGAGGTATATGGAAACATATTATAAAGTCAACGAGAAGGAAGCCACAACATGGAGACTCACCGTTAGTAAACAATACTAGTTTGCTGAGAAATCTTTGGGTGGAAGCTATAGTTAGAGAAGTCAATTATGGTCCCGATGGCCGATTCAGAACGATTCGATTGAAGAGACACCGTAGACATCAACCGAGATATACGAAACCTATGCCTAATGGAAGAGGTCGATTATTCGAGCGCGACGGCAACGAGGTCTGGACGTGGTGACCGCTTCGGGGGGAGTGTTAGTTATTTTATAACTAATTGTAGTTATGTCATAACTAACCAATCAGATTGGTTAAGCGCTCACCACGTCATCTAGTCTGACCGGTCTATGGACTTTCTTGTTGTGAACGGCCTATCGATTGAAGGATGTTATTATTTTATTTTATATAGATGTGACTCATGTTTTTTATTCATTTTCTAAAGACACGCCATACTGTCCGGTACGTTTGCTCATCCTGCTTGATAATTGTAATTTCCTTATTTATTGTACTAAATTAATCGTTTTCTTTTTGTTTAGAAACAGATAAAGTTTAAAAGCAAATTGTCTTCTGTTAACTATAGTTTCACTCTGGACTCTGTCATCGGCGGTATTTGCGTTTACGTTTTTAGAATTACATCTGTAGGACAAAATTAAATCCTACACCGACTGCAGCCTCCCATACAGTTGAGGTTTATCGTCCTCACTGTTATCGTTGGTAGGCGCATAGCATTGGATGACATTCATTGTATTCCCGCATTTCTTTTTCTAAAAGTATGCTTTGGTGATTCTCAGTTCTCTGGACAGCATCAGTGCAACTGCTTGTGTGTGAGGCATTGTCATGGCCAGAGTACTACAACATTTCTCCTGTAGCTAGTATATTTTGTCCAACCTGCCTCCAATGTGTTTCACTGATTTCAAGTAACACCAGGTTGTATCGTTTCATTTTTGCAGTTACTTGGATAACTCTCTCAGTCTCCCACATTGTACGGACAATCTATGTACCTATATTAATTGTTTCTGTAGTTGTGAGGAGCGTCAGCCACGTGATTTCCGAAGAAACTGGGCTCTTACTATGAGGTGTGATAACTCTTCTAAATGAAGACCATCGAACTGCCTGGGTAGAGTCTAAATTATTTATTTTGGTTACTGTATTTTTTAGAAAATTGGTTTTCTACAGGATAGCGTTGCTATCTCTATACCCAACCTTCCTCTTTTATCCGTGCTTGGAACCGTTAGTAACCTTAGAAGGGCTCCAGAAACACCACTAAGTAGCTTCATAAGGCACATCAAGTACTGGATAACACTTACAAAGACATTTTTGTGGTGGTGTTTCGTTCTCTGAGCTGAGAGAAGGAAACACCACTACAATCATCCACCTGAGCTACAAATTTTTTCCACCATCTCAGAGACATTTCTACCACCCATACTTTCACTAAGAATGTTTATTACTCTTTATTAGGTCATGACCCATCAACTCATCTAAAAATCAGTGTATAATAAACGCTGAATATCGATCCGTCATCATCCATAGACAGCGTGCTATGAGATTTGGTCATGGACGGAGTCTTACGTTCAGTCAGGAGTCTGAGTCAGTTATTTGGTAGCTAAGTGATTTGCAGATGCTTTATAAATTACATCCAACGACTTCCACAGAAAGTATTATTTGCCAACTCTGATTGAATACCATGGTACAGAAAATAACTGTGTAGAATTAACACCTATCATTCTGTCTTTACTGTCCGGTGCAGGTTGTCTTTATATTTCAAAAGCCACCAACCTCTGAAGACAAGAACATCCAAGTAATAAAACATCCAATCCATTCATAATTCTAAAATACTATTGGTCAATGCATTTTTGTCATGACTGTCTATCACATATATTATTTACTTGCTTAGCGTAGGAACAATAGATCACCGACTTTGGTGATCAGTATCAATGGTTGCGGGCCTACTCTAGTTTGACGGGAAGGATGTAACCTCCTAGAGTATATCAAAGTCACACCTCTCGATTAATGCTTAACTTGGATTATATTATCGTGATAAACTGGTGGCTGGCTAGAATAATTAGAAAACGGTGGCTATTAGAATTAACATTTAACAGAGGCACAACTCGGAACCACCACCTCATGAGTTTATCCATGCTACGTAATTTACTGATGCTCGTTCACTGTCATCGACCTTAACGAGGATCAATAAACTGTTTGATATTGATTGAGCAGTCTGTTAGATGAATTGCCTAGGATTGAGAAGACTGAGGTAGGCTCTCTTGGTCAATTAAAAACGACAACATTATATTGAACACTCTATTTGCACACCATCTTTGAGTCGTGACTTCCAACGCTCCATCCTTCTTCCATTCCTGTTGTTGCTTCCTTTACTTCCTCTGTTGGTACTCCATTTACTTCTTGCTTTTGCTCCATTTGCTTTCCGTTTTCCTCTTGTGACCGTGAGACTTCTTCTTTCACGTCCCTTCTTATACTACTTATATCGTTAGCATAAGTAGCACACACCACACTGTGATATTTCATTGGCCCCACAGAACTTATTGTAAATTAGTTCAATTTCATATTCTCCTGTTTTTTTCCTCACAAAACATTCAGTCATATCTTAACTGTCTACCAAAAAGATCTATCTTGTACACACAATCGTTATTATTTATTCAATAAATTACATATCGTTATATCAATGTACAAACAATGTTTACACACAACATATCACCACTATAATTGAGAGAATCAGAATTTTCTCTAAAACTAATTTAAAAAAAATTAAAAAATAATAATTTTATTTCTCATGATTAATAATACTGTCACATTTTTTTAGTTTGCAATAGGAGAAGAAAAATCATAATTCCCGTGTTTTTCGTTTCCATCTAATTACACCACAATCTGCCTCCTGATTGATTGATCATTAGAAAGAAATGTCATTACTTTCTAGGTTTTCGTTGAATTGCTTGAACAATCGCCTCATCTACTGGATTCAAGTGTCCTGTTCTTGGTGATGATGCATTATTGGCTTTGTTGTTAACATTTACAGGTGGTAAATTTGGTTCATTCAATAATAATTGAATAGTATTTTTAATATTATTATTATTATTGTCATTGATTGGTTTGTTTTTCAAATTATCATTTGGTAGACTACTAACATTGTTGTTGTTAATGTTGTTGTTGTTTAAAGGTTTATTAATTTTCTCTTTTTCTAATCGATCAATTTTGAGTTTTTGTTCAGCTATCTAAAAAATTTTTGAAAGTTATAAATTTTTACACATTTGAATCATCAATCAATCATTGTTAGATCACCATTAGAAACCTGGAAGCACTAACAGATGGCCGTTTCGTCTTGGTATGGGACTCATCAGTGGCAGTGCGCATCCACGACTCCTGCTCCTCGCAGGATTCGAACCCGGGCCCGTCGGCATTGTAGGCGAACGCCTTATCATCGGACTACTGGGCCGGCATCCAACGGCGTTAATGTCTAACTCTGATTGATCTACGGATTTTGAGCGACCTCATTCATTTGTCTTTGGTAGTTACTGCCTACACCCGACAGGGTTGAACTCCTCCGGTCACGTCTTCTCAACTAGAACTGCGAGAATTTCCTCACGAAGCTAGTCACTAGCGAGCACTGTTACTATATTTTGGGGCAGAGTTTTGTAGGTTTGTGTTTTTACACATTTAAAATCATCATTATAGAGTTATGGAGATTGTTGTTTATTGTTGAAATATCATGAACCACAATCATTGTTAGACCATTATTAGAAGAAACTTGAAAGTACTGAACGGCCGTTTCGTCCTGGTTAGGGACTGATCAGCAGTGTACATCTACGATTTTTGCAATTCGCAGGTTTTGAACTCAGGGCCTTTGATCTTGCGCGCGAACGCCAAACCTCTGGACTATCGGATCATACCAGGTGGTCTAACAATGACTGATTCATGAATTCAGTAGAAAAAACTCTTGTTATGCTTTGTTCTCTGTGTTAAAAGAGTTATTGTTTAAATCGTTTGAACAATGTCCAATGTATACATGTATATATTTTTATGGTGAACTTTTTCTGATACTTAATAAATGCTTTGAAATAGAAGCCAATGATTATGTATGATAAGTATTAGGTAACATGTCATGATCTTATTTTCATTCTCAATGATTTCGGTAATTAAAAATTATTTTTTAGTCTATCTGTGGTGCGCACTACTTATAAGTAGTATATGACGTGAGTGAAAACGTAATGTCTGGCAGCAGAAGATGAGGGAAGATCAAGAAAGGAAGAGTGGGAACACAATGGGATTTGTATGAAACGCATGAATAAGTGAAATGTCAGACAATGGATTGATGTTTTGCAAATTAACGGTTTACGATATGGTTTTGCTATTTTACCAATTAACTCTGTAATTTTCGTTTAATACAATTCGGTTGCTCTCACCTGTGTTCTCCTCCACTACATATCGACTATGGCAAACTTGCAGAGTAAGTAATAACGAAACTAGACTTCACTGATAGTTATTAGCAATACATAGAGATCGTCTTACGACCTTACAGGAATGACTGACCACTTCTCCACCCAGCGTTCAAAGAATCCTGATACTCCATAAATCTGAAGTTGTGTCACTGAAACAGCAGCAACCCTCGGCAGCTACTTGGTATGATTGCTGGTTGAACATTACAATACTGTCTTCGATGTCTTTATGTAGGCTTTGTAGATTTTTCCCCACAAACTACTTATTCATAGCACTCGAAACAAAACTGGTTTGTCAGAAAGAGCCCACTGAACTATCTACATCGTCAATAACTAATCTCAAGCTTCATCTGTGAAAGGAGAACGCTAAGTATCACATCAAAGAATATTTTGGGATCAGTGCAGATTTGTGAAAGGTTTGCTAAAAGACATGCAGCTATAAAGACCCTTAAACAACTCTCTTTTCTCTACTTGAATGCTGTATGAGAGTATCTTAAAACGCGATATCAACTCTTTCCTCCCCTAGTCATATCAAACATTTTCGGACATTTGATCCGATCCATGGATCATTACATCAAACACTTTCATTATGTCATATAGGTAGGCTATTAAAGATTCCCATTGTGAAAATTAGAACAAACCAATATAAACGAACAATATTATTATTTTCGATTAGATCGTCATCAGGCTTTACTCTAATATACATGAATATATATTTGAAAATGTGAAACCAATCAAGGCAATCTGAGTCATAATCACAACCAGGCAACTTAACCAACGAATGAGTGAACATCTCCCAGCATGGTTTACGAAGGGTCAGTCAAAAATAATACGCAGTTCGATCTTAGCACACCTGGTAGATAGTGGTCACATTGTATATAAATCTAGATCTTTTCGGGTGATTTATCGTATACCTCCATCATTTCCCAACGGAGTTCCATCCCGTCTCCTACACATTGCAGAAGCCATAGGAATACGTACATTTAACCGCAATTTGTGTGTTCAGAAGAAATTCGTGACACCCCTATCTCTTCCGCGGCCGGATATCACGTAACTAATGATTGACATTATTTTTAACACGTTTGCTTATTACGTAATGGTTTCGATGTTTTTTGATGATTATTTGAAGTCTATTCATCCACCATTGACCTACTATTGATAAAACTTTAGTTATCATATTTTATAATTTTCCTACTGCTATCAGTCCACCTGTCTTCCTACTATCCACTGGTACTTCTGCCTATAATATATGTAGTGACGTAATCTCTATTTCATTTCATTGTGATTATCACTCAAATTGCCTTGATTGGTTTAACATTTTCATACATAAATATTCATGTATATTAGAGTAGAGGCCCGATGACGATCTAATCGAAAACAACAATATTGTTCGCTTATATGTGTTGTTCTAATATAGGTAGGCATCGGGCATAAACTTTATGTGATACAGTTTGAATTATCACTTACATCTCAATAAATGTATTGATTTTCTATTTATGAAACATACCTACCTCCTCATTAATCTTCTTCATATTCTCGACTAACATTTGACGTTCTCTCTTCAAAGATTCAAATTCTTGAGTTAAATTTGGTTGGATTTGTTTATCTGACAGTAAATTACCAAATGTTTTTTCTTGATATGCAAGCTAATTTGAATTAGATAGAGAAAAATTTATTTAACAAATTGTCACGTATAAAAACCAACACACAGGGAATCGAACCTAGGGCAAACACTGAACCACTGAACCAATGAGTCTGTATCTAACGGAATTCATGTCTAACCTCGATCGATTCACGGTCTTGTGCAACCTCATCCACCATCTTCAATGAGCACTACTTCACACCCGAACAGAGTTAAACTCCACTGGTTGCGATTTCTCACTAGAGCTTGGAGAAATGTCCTCACGTAGTTAGTCACTAGTGGGCACATGATAATTTGCAATATACGGTTGTGAAGATAGTTGAGTCACTTTAAAATCATATATTGATCAATGCTAGGCCACCATTAGACATAAACACCGTTTGATGCTGGCTTAGTGGTCCAGAGGTCAAGTGTTAGCGCGTAAAACCACATGTCCTGGGTTCGAATTCTATGCGTAGCGAGAGTCGTGGATACGCAATGCTGATGGAGGACAAAATGATCGTCCAGTGCTTCCAGGTTTCTAATGGTGGTCTAACAGTGATCGACTCATGATATGCTCGTCGATTCATATGCTTGAAACTAGTGCGAGTTCACCTTACTCGGTAAACTGAACAAAGATCAACGATACAGTGACACTAGCAAAAAGTCTTGACAAGGAGTAGAGACTGTATTCTACAAGCACAGAAATCAAGCTTATTCATACAATGATAGCCACGCCCTCAGGAGCCACAAAATTGCGTACTAAAATAATCCATCAATCAATGACAGTCAAGGATCTTCCGAGTAGGATATGTGAGATCAAGGTCAACTGAGCGACCTATGCTTGAAAACATAATAAAATCTAAAAATTAGGACCTTTTACAAGTGAGTTCTGGGGATCTAACGTCCCCAACAGATTTGCATAAATGTGTTAATTTTCACAGCTTAAACATTTATGAAATAAGATATTCATACTGTAGTGAAGGAGAACACAGGTGGGGCAACCGAATTGTATTTAACGAAAATTACAGAGTTACTCAGTAAAATCGGAAAACCACATCGTAAATCGTTTATTTGCAAAATATCAGTCCATCATCATGTCGAACTGGACTGTTCCTGTTGCAAAACATCAATCCATTGTCACTGTTCATGCGTTTCATACAAATTCCATTGTTACCTAACTCTTCCTTTCCTGATCTTCCTTCATCTTCGGCTGCCAGACATTACGTTTTCCCTCACGTCATATACTACTTATAAGTAGCTCGCACCACAATACTATGTGTTTCTGCTTAATAGAAATATTCAAGTGATTAAGTGAATTTCACTAACAGCTTGCATAGATGTTACTATTTATCATATCAAACTCAGCAATTATGATGTCGATTTATATTTTTCGGAGGTGTACAATAATTACCCATTGAACACCTGTTTTATTTAATTAAGATAATAAAAGCCTTTAGTATTGACCACGTACAGCCTTGTTGTCAGTAATCAGAAGTTGGAATATTCAGATCAATCCATGACAAAACTGACTACAAATGAGAATAATCTTCACAAAACCTCACTAGCGACGTGTTTGTAGATAAGTTCTAGTGGGAAGTTGTTATCAGTGGAGTTCAATTATTTTAAGAGTAAAACAGCTATTGCAAATGGCCTTAACTCGTCATCATATTGGATCAAGAATCAATTGAAATTAGAAATGTTAACTTTTCAATCTCAATTCAGTAGTTTATTTAATTAGTTAGATATTTCTCCTAAAACTTATTTCTTGGCCGTATTATGACTACTAACAAGTGATTCGTAATAAGTAGTGTCTTAATAAATCGGAAAAAAATTCCTACCGTTTTTTCTTCATACCTGTTGTTGAAGTTTATCATTTTCATTAGATTTGAGTAAAACATCTTGACGAAGCATTGCATTCATATGCATTAATTCATTTTCACGTTGTTTTAATCGATTCAGCTCAGCAATATCTGCTGTTTGTTTAATTTGACTTCGTTCAAATAATGATTGAGACTGAAGAATGAAAATGAAAAGCATAAGGTTTAGAGACCGTGTAGATCGTGTAGAAAATCAATTCGTTAAAAAAACGCTAACTAGAAACAATAAATAATTCAAACCATTTAAACTCTAACCTGTTTGTTCGAAAGTCTTCATTTCGAAGAGTTATCATGCCACATAGTGAAAACCCAGTTTCTTAATATTAGGTACATAGATTGTTCGAACAATGTGGGAGATCGGGAGAATTATCTAAATTACTGCAGAAATGAAACAATACCACCTGGAGGTACTTGGAATCAGTGAAGCACACTGGACGCAGCGGATTGGAAAAAAAAGACTAGCTTCGGAAAAAATGTTGTCGTACTCTGGTCATGAAGAAGATGCCTCATGTACACAAGCGACTGCACTGATGTTGTCCAGAGAATCCCAGAAGGCACTTATAAGCTAGGAATCTCATAAACCCAGAATCATCAGAGGGGATCACAATGACTGTTATTCAGTTTTATGCGCTTACAATGATAACGATGAGAACGATAAGCCTCAACTGTATGGGAGGATACAGTTCTTTTTCGAGAAATACTCAGCAAACAATTTAAACATTCTGATGGGAGACCTGAACGCCAAGGAAGTAACAGACAACGCTGAATATGAAAACATCATGGTACGTCATGGACTGGGAGAAAGGAATGAAAACGGTGGGATTAGTAAATCTATTTGCCATAAACAAAGTGGTAATAGACAGATCATTGATGATAAACTAGCTGAATGGAACTAATCACTGCACATAATAGCAGGGGTGGCATTTTCGTAATTGAACAACATCCGCAGCTCAAAACGACTGTCTTTCAATCAACACTTAAGTCACGATTTTCAATATGAATAAGAAAACACTTCTGTTGTATGTAACGGAAACCTGGCAAACTACAAAAGCCATCATTTGAACGATACAAGTGTTGATAACCAATTGTCTACGCAAAATACTGCCAATCAGTTAGCTATACACAACTACCGCGGAAGAAAACAAACCAGTTTCCATTAAACTGAGCCAGAAAACAAAACGTAACCTGAGGCCCTCAATTTAGAAGAAAAGGAGTCAGAAAAAGGAACAACTCGTGCTGATAATTTGAATTCAGACATGAAACGAATGAATAGTGAGTGGAAATAACTGGTTAGAAGAGCAGATGACAGAGTTTGTTGAATATTGCTGATTGACGACAGCCTATGCTCCATGAGGAGTAGCACACGCAAGTAAGTAAGTAATTGCAAAATGAAACCACATTTTCCAAACTAACGAATCTTGTATCCTTTATTTAATTGAATTTTTAAAGAGAATGTTAGTATTAGCACAATGGTTAAGATATTCGAACTCCAACCAACATATGGAAACTCCAATTTCACACATGCATCTACCTACCTTGACATGAACATCTGTCAGGTACCATCAGTTTTTCAGTCAGTCAGTTACAATGTAGAACTTTGTACATGAGTACATAGGTTCAGGTTGCCATACCTCACCAGCACACGGACGCAACAGTCAGTTCGAATCCCATAGTGGTAGAGATAGTAGAAGTATTAGAAGTAATCGGAGCGATAAGGGTTCGAAGATATGATTCGAGAGGTATAGTTCAGTGAGATGACTTTAGAAAGAGAAAGATAGAGATGATGAGGAATGCAGAAGAGTAGAATTTAAGAGAAGATAAAATGTAGGTGCACCTGCGCCATTACACACGATTCTGAGCCATGTAGTTCAACGTCTCTAACCATCAGTGATTTTCATCCAGCGGACCCCAACCAGGTAGCCTAAAATCTACCTACATCACTCAGTTCATCAGTTTGTACGTATGGCGTGTTTAAACTATGAGTTGGATTGAACATCTGAAGGTAAAACTCTCAAACAACTTGAAAACGTTCTTGTGATGCACAACTGGTGACACACATAACTACCCAAAAAGGAAGAATTACGTCTAACCACAACTTTAAACTTATTCAAAGATAGTGAAATCATAGGGAATAGTGAAATGTTTTTGTCTAGTTTTTTCCACTCATATGGTGTTAGGATATTCATCTAATATCCTAAGAGAATTATTGGTCTATTCCTATCGATTAATTCCTACTGGTCAATTTTATGGTCGTCCTAGTACATATCAATGTCATGTGCTCCAATGTTGTTTCTTATTGGTTATCCTGACTATCAATCTCACTTCAAATGTTGCTTCCTATTGGTCGTCTTAACTGTCAATGTGTCACAGACTTCGATGCTGTTTCCTATTCGACCAAAATGTATGAATACGCATTATCTGTAACGTTTTACGACCACGACCAGGACCAGGGCTCGGTCCCGGATCCCTAGTCTGGGATCCTGATTCTCTTCTGCATTCGGTAGAATACAGGTTCTACTTCATATAACGTCTTCTTATTTTTACTGAATATGTGGGTTGGGATAATCGGATTTGAGTAACATGTCGTGCCACCGGATCCTCGATCCTCGCTCTCGTTTTTTGCGACTAGGTAAACTCGTAATAGCTCAAGCACATATCAAAATGACGTGTCACGTGCAGGTGTAACATATGGCACATTAATATAATCTTAACACTATTTATGATTACATCAAAAAACTTTAGGTGAATTCATCAAAAGTCGTTAAACTATCGTGTTGTTAAACTGTGGAGTCAAAAGTTTTAGAAAAAAAATTCTCCCTAATGACATTCAAAAAAAATAAAACATGATATTTTTTGTCAAACTCGAAACAATAATAATTATAGAAAGCTGATCAATTTGAACTGAATAAAAAATTTCAACAAACAAACAATAAAACGAATTTTTATTATACAACCTACCATAATGAATGCTACATTTAAGTTTGATAAGTATATCAATGAAAAATTCACTTGAATCAAATTTTCAATGATCAGAAAATTAATGTTTGTAAAAATAAAAGTTATCAGAATTAACACATTTGAAATCATCAATCAATCATTGTTAGATCACCATTGGAAATCTGGAAGCACTGAAACACGGCAGTTTCGTCCTGGTATGGGACTCATCAGCAGTGCACATCCACGACTCCTGCTCCTCGCAGGATTCGAACCCGGGCCCGTCGGCATTGTAGGCAGACGCCTTACCATCGGACCACTGGGCCGACATCCAACGGTGTTAATGTCTAACTCTGACTGATCTAGGGATTTCGCGTGGTAGAAAAAAACGAAAAAAAGGCGACAACAATGGTTTTGAATAATCCATAAAGATGTTTTATATTTTCCATCTTTTCATTTTGTGACTTTTATTTACTTATTATTAACTTACCCCTGTTACGCCTAATGGAGAAAATAGGCCGCCACATGGATTTCTCCAACCTACTCGATTCTAAGCTTCTTTTTTAATTCTGTCCAACTGTTGTTCATTCTTCTCATATCTGTCTCTATTGCTAGGCATATATCACGTTTTCTGGTCTTCTTCTTTTCCTTTGACCTTGAGAATTCCAAATGAGGGCTTGCCTCGTGACGCCGCTGGGTGTTCTCCTCAATGCGTGTCCTATCTACTACGCCTGCGGCCCTTTGGGGTTACTACCCGTCGAAAGTCGGAATAAAGGAGGACAGTTGGACATGGATTTAGTGACCTCATCGCTCAGAAAACACACCATATAACTTTTACCGCCTAATATAATCAATTTATTCATGATGATTCAATCGTAAATTTATCTAATCAGCTTTATGATACTCAATAGTTTTATCAGGATTTTCAATACTATCCGACTACTGAAACAGAAATATTAGGCAGTGAACTCAAACCTATGACCTATCAGTTCGAATTAATGTGTTTTAAACATCAAATCTTCTCTGCTTTTCATTTCCATTGAAAACTATAATTTCTTTCAAGTGATATTTTTTTGTACTTATTGTTAAGGTATATCATTTTATTGGATTAAATTAAGTTTTCGTGAACTTTTAGAAGCTTGTTTTAGTTATCCTAATCAATATTTTATCAAATAAAATATTCCCGATCGTAGCTGTTACCTTGACGTGGTGGTCAGGCTTGACTATCGTCATGACCCAGCCGAGCTATACTGGCTGCAACATATGTTCCTGAAGGTTCTACCATGCCAGGCAGGTCGATTGGAGAACGATGAAACTAAAAGCAGCTCCTCAAGGTCTGAGGGCGAAGTCGTACTGCTGATTGCAGAAGGGTGTGACAGAAGTAAGGTGTTTCTCTCGGACAACCATCATCTGCCGTGATGCTGCCTTCTCACAAGGAAGGAAGGGTTAGAAAAGGTCGACCCTAAAAATGTCACACATCACCATACCTCACGGATTTCCATCTCCGTCGGTAAGGGTGCCCACTAAGGGCCTTTAAGAGCGGAGCTAATACTCAAAAAACATTTCATAAAAATGCCGTGCAGTTGTCCCTCGGGCTCTACGGTCACGCTCCCAGGTCTCCAAGACCAACACTAATCTATCTTCCTTTTCAAGTCCCTCAAGAAACAGCCTTCCACGGTGTGGGCAGCCAGGAAGTGACAACCGCCCTCATACCCGTAACAGCACGCGAGACCAAATTGGTCGAAATAAAATCCTTCCTAAGCTTCTGCATTCCTCATAATCTCTACCTTTCTCCTTCTAAATTTATCTTACTGAATTATACTTCTCGAATCATATCTTCGCTCCCTAAACTTTTCCATTGCTGCTGATACTTCTATTATTGCTATCACTATTGGATTTGAACTGACAGTTGCGTCTCTGTGCTGATGGGGCATGGCAACCTGAACTGATGTACTTACGTACGAAGTTCTGTGTTGTATCTGTCTGTCTGTCTATCTATCTAAATAAAATATTGATTTTCATTGAGTTCAAGTGAAATTTTCCAAAGATTGTTTTTAAAAAACTGATATTACAAATATATCGTGATATTATTTCTCAAGGATTCTACTATAACACTTCACCGTCGGTTTGAAATTTTTAATCAATAAGTAAGTACGTAGTGCCTCAACATATATTCCAGTTCGCTTACATCTAACTTGGTTAAGCCCTTTCGATTGATTTATTTAACCAAGCCATAATTTGTACTGCAACAATTTATATGTACCATTCAATCTTATTATTGTCTGGTTTGTATGATGAGCTCACATGACATGTTCCACTTGTTATTTGACCTTGTCAACTATTCGTCGCTTTTATTCATGTGTGTGCACGCCTATTTCGCTTGTCATATGTCTATCTTATTATATTTGTCTGACTATATATTCTTAGTCATGCTCCATTTCTTTGAGTTGGCTCATTAGCCTTCTCCAACGCGCTTCTCCCATTCGGTCGCATTGTAACCCATGGAGTTGACTCAAAAGCCTTCTCCAATTCACGTCGCTTCATTTGTTTTATTCACTGCCTCTCTGCTCTTCGGTTTGTGGTGTGTCCCGAATAAACGTATTCATTCATCACAACGAGTTCGTTCATGTTCTTCTGATTTATAAATCGTCAAACGTTATTTGGCAACAATTGTCTGAACGAATTAATTACCGAGCTTTTAAGAACACGCAGTAAATGCGACACACTGCAATTAAATAAAGTAAGTTCATTCAAACAACTTACTTCTTCAGCTAATTTTCTTAATTTTTCTAATTCACTAGACAAATAGACATTTTCTTTTAAAAGTATATCATTCTTATCAGTTTGTTTATTTTTAATGTATCGATCATTTTCTGACTTTAGGAAGGCATCACTTAGTTTTTGTTCAAGTTGACGTATTTTATCCTAGATGGAAGAAAAAAATTGGAGAAGAATTATGTACCGATCAATTGTATTACTTATTAAAAAAATATTTCAGTAGCATAATACAATGAGCACTGTTTATTGTATGTTATATTGTAATTGATTAGTAAATTAATTTCCGCCCCCCCTGACATATTTCTCATTTAGTGTTATGTAGTTAATACAAAGTTGGTTGGAGAAAGTTGCTCGATGGTCTATACTACTACATCAGGGATAACAGGCGTAGGTAAGTAACTTGGTACAATCACATCATCAAGGTTCATAATTATTCATTCCCCATGGCAGGGTGTACGTTCTGGCTGACTTTGTGGGACAAACTCTATCTTTAGCTTCATGTGGGGTCTAAGGGCTCCGGTGGATTGTACCAGCGCAAGGCAATTGCAGGCCAGACGGTTGAAACGGCTGCTGGTTAGTGCACTGCTGGGTGGCTTGGTAGTCCGTTCGGGGCACCAGGCCTAGCTGAGAAAGCCCGCCTTGCCGCTCATGCCGATTGGTGATTGTGGGTAGTGGGTTGGTTGGCGGGATCTTGTTGATTCATAAGTGCCAGAACGGGTGTCACTGTTCGTGCGTGTGCTTTTTGGACGTCCATTTGTCAGCAGACCAATCGAGACAACATGTGCGTTCCCGTATGGGACAGGGGTGATCGCAATATTGGCTCTTGTGAGAATCTTTGTGTTGCTTAAAATGCAGCGACGTGCATGTGCAGCAGGCATGCTGGTTAACCAAGAACATTTAAAATACTGAGACGTATATCATTTCTACTTTCGATATATACCTCTGTATTGATGTAGCGGTCTGTTACAATTAACTGACAAGAAAGGATATAACTTTTATTCATGATATAAAATCTACTACAAATCGTTTACATAGTTCCTAGTCAGTCAGTTAATCAGCAACAATGTAGACCTTCGTACGTACGTACATCAGTTCTAGTTGTCATACCACATTAGCAGAGACGCAACTGTCAGTTCATTACATAGTTCCTGGTGTTTGTAATGGAAATATATTTTCCATTGTAGGCTGATTGGTGCTTCATCAGTGTCGAAGAAGCCTACAATGTCATCTTTTTCACGTTATCAAATGTTTTTTCGGAGATTTTTCATAAAGCTAACACCAAATCAAGCTTTTTAATTTCATATAAAAGTACCGAGATGTATATACTAAACTTTAGTGAAGTTCTAACAGTACAAAGATTCAAACATCCACTGTATGATCAAAATTAGTTCATTCCCACTTGGAGTCTACCCTTGTAATACACTAGATAGAATGTAACTAGAAGTGGAATTCTCAACTCCACTTCCGTCCTATTTGAGACTCGCCAGCTAGCTGGATATACCTGCATCTCGGAATTGCTGTTCACTCCTAGAGGCGAACCAGTACTATTTGCTTTGTGGCGGTGGTGTTTGGTTCTCTGAGCTGGATGCTTTGGTTGTGGAGCTTTCACTGTTCTTCTGAACAACATCATCAGCACAAACTTTAGATAGAAGTGAAGCATTCGAATTTCTTCACGTGCATGACTTGTAGCTTGTTCTGCTAACCTCGATCTTGATTGGTTGCTGTTGACCTTAAACCTGTCGTTGTTTGCACCTTGTTTGTTTTGATTGTATCCTCCTTTGGATCTGTTTGTTGATCCCATGTTACCTATGATTTTGCTGATTGGTTGATAAATTGGGTCAATGTCGATGTGTTTGTTGATTGCTGATTGACCTGAGTGCCAAGCTTCTAGATGTTCCCTAGTGTTCTTTGTCTTCCCCCTACCCAGTATTTTCACGTTGTTCCAATCGAATGAGTGTCCATAATTGTCGGTGTGTATTGATATAAGCGAAGAATTGTCGTGGCGTTTGACTGCTAATTGGTGTTCACGTAAACGAAGCTGAAGAGGTCGTCCACTTTGTCCTATGTAGTGTTTTTCACAGTCTGAGCAATTTATTTTGTAGATGATATTTGGTTTTTCTTCATTTGTCATTTTGTCCTTTGGTCTACATAGGATTGATTGAAGTGATTCTGTCGGTTTGTGTGCCACACCTATTCCAAATGGTTTCAGTAGTCGAGCTGTATGCTCCGATATGTCTTTTATGTATGACAGGATGATCCGTTTATTGGTTCCTGGGCTTGATTTTGCTTCTGATGATGATTTCGTTTGATGTTTTTTGATGAAGTTGCACGGATAGCCGTTCTTTTGGGAGATATTTTTCGTCGCTTTTTAGTGCTTCGTATGTGCTGCAGTGTGTCTTCGCTCTCTTGAACAAAGTTTCCAGTTTTACTGTTTTAGTTCTGGTGATTAGTACATCTAGGAATGATAGACTGTTGTTTGATTCCTTTTCCATCATGAATTTAATGTCATCGAAAACGTTGTTGATGTGATTGTAGATGTTCTCCAGCTCGTTCTTTTTGATGATGACGAATGTGTCGTCTACATAGTGAACCCACATTTTTGGTTTGATCACTGGTAAAATCGACGCTTCTAGTCTCTGGTGTTCCTTTTGTTTGTTCGTAGACTCTGTTGTTGAATTGAAAATACGTTGTTAATCATAGATCGATGAGTTCAAGCAGACTTTGGACTCTGAAGCTTTGTATATTTGTGCAGATTTGTGTCGTTGATGAGGAGCAGGGAAAGAGTTCCTTTAGCCAAGCTTGGCTCTATTGAGGTGAATAAGGCTGTCACGTCGAAAGATATCATCGTTTCGTCGTTGTCGATTTGAATCCCCTTGAGTTTATCCAAGAATTGTCTGGCAGATTTAATGGAGTAGTTGGATGCATCCACCAAATGTTTTAATATCCTTGAAATTTCTCTTGATAAGTTGTAGGTCGGGGTTCCGGGGAGGGATACAATAAGGCGTAGTGGAATGTTGGGTTTGTGGAGTTTCGGCCTACCGTAGAATCGTGGAATTTATTGGTCTATTGGATTTCATTCTCCATTGATCTTGTTTTGATATTTGTCCTGCTTTGACAAGCCTGTTTAGAGTCCTTGAGATATGGTTGTTCAACTTTTTTATTGGGTTTGTGTTGATTGGTTTGTATATGCTTCTGTCCTTAAGTAGTTTGCTTTAAAAAAGTACATTGTTTTATCCTACTGATTCCAGATGAAAAAATCGATTGTGCAATGGGTAAAGAGATCAATAATTAAATTATCACTAATGAATTAAAATATCATACTTCTTAAACTAGTATCTTCTCACATTTTCTAATTCATCGCTCTAATAATATACATTGATTTACAATTGATCTGTTATTCAGGATGATGTAAATCACATTATGTCTGTTTTTCTCTCCCAAGTTCATCTAGTTTGACTTTAGATGCGATCAAAGTGTGGCCACAGTAATATTTTATCCCATTATATTATCTAAGGATTACATACTTATTACATTTAATCAACTATTAAATTCAGCTGAAATTGATATGATTAATTCAAGTTTAAAAATTTTCATTATACAGTTGTGGAAATTGTTGTGTTTCATTGAAATCATGAATCATTCATTGTTAGGCCACCATTAGAAACCTTAAAGCATTGGACGGCCGTTTCATCCTAGCATGGGACTCATCAACAGTGACCATCTACAACTCCAACAACTCGCAGAAATGAAACACAACAATCTCTATAACTCAATAGTGAAAATGTGCTCGCTAGCTTCGTCAGGAAAATCTCGGAGTTCAAGTGAGAAGCCGTGACTAGTGAAGTTCAGCCGTGTTGGATGTAAGCAGTAACTAACGAAGACAATCGGTGAGGTTGTACAATACCTTGGACTGTCCACCGTTGAATGTTGGCTCATTGGTCTAGAGGTTGAAAGTTCGCGCATGAGAATAAAATTACTGGGCTTGATTCCCGCGATCGGGGATTGTGTTTGCACACTGCTGATAAGTCCCATACCTCCTACTAAAACGAAACAACCGTTCAATAATTCTGATGATCGATTCATGATTTTAATTAAAAAAATTTAAAATTCTATATTCACTGAAACATAGGCATAAAATAAAATAAATTACTTACTTTAAATTCATTTTGTGGTGTTGATTGAACACGATTTAATTCTTGTTGATAATGAATTTCTAATTGTCTTATTATTGTATTGAATTCAATTAATTCTGAACGACTTTCAATTAAAGATTTTTCTAAATCATTTGCTCGTTTTGTTTCATCATCAAGCTAATGATTAATGAGAATATTTAGAAAAAAATCAATGATTTTTATCGATAAGGAAACAGTGTTGATTGATAACTTGATCAATTAAGCAAGACTGTTTTAAACTAGTGTTTTGTGGTGGTGATGATGTTTCATTCTCTAAGACGGGGATGTTTTGGTTGTGGAGCTTTCATCATTGTTCTTCTACTGAACGATAACATCTTCAGTAGCACAAACTTCAGATAGGAGAAGTGAAGTATTCGACTTTCTCCACGTTTGACCTGTATGTAGCTTGTTCTGCTAACTTCGATCTCCACCATCTCAAAGTAATTTTTTTATGTTGGTGAATCGTTTAGCAATGTTGTGTGACAAAAATGAAATACCAAATCGGAATTCCGTTTTCAATATTTAAAAAACTTGAAGTCGACTCCAATACGTTATTGGTGCACAACTCCATAGATTCTTTCTTCATATCCTACCGGATATTGGCAAAGCAACGGCTGCATTTCTACAGTTGAAAAATATCTGGAACTCCAAACAACTTTCAACCAAAACCAAAATCAGGATTTTCAATACAAATGTCAAGATAGTTCTACTGTATGCAGCGAAAACTTGAAGAACTACCAAAGCCATCATTCAGAAGATACAAGTGTTTATTAACAGTTGTCTACGCAAAATACTTCGGATTCGTTGGCCAGACACTATCAGCAACAACGTACTGTTGGAGAGAACAAACCAGATTCCAGTGGAGGAGGAAATCAGGAAGAAGTGGTGGAAGTGGATAAGACACACACTACGAAATGTACCTAACTGCGTCACGAGACAAACCCTCACCTGGAACTCTCAAGTGAAAATGAACACATTATGCCGAGAAATAGAGAAAGATATGAGAGGAATGAACAATCATTGGACAGAACTAGAAACGGAAGCCCAGGACAGTGTTGGTTGGAGAAAACTGGTGTGCGACCTATGCTCCATTGGGGGTAACAGGCATAAGTAAATAAGTAAGTAAGTAAGTAGGTAAGGAGCAAGTCAAAAGTAGCTGTGAATAGGACAGATTTTGAGCAATTTCATTCACAGTCTCTAACAATGACTTCATAGATTGGTGCCGTGTTTTGATTTGACGGCCCCTAGCTTTCTTCCAATTTACTCTTACACCACAGAACGTAGCTCGTTGGGGCAGTTAGTAGTTAGGCATATACCAGGTTTTTCATGGTGATCAGTGACCTTCTCATTTAATCGCTTTTGATCGGTTCACTATCCATATCAGTCAATCAATAAGTTACATCATAGAACTTCGTACGTACGTACATTTGTTCAGGTTGGCATACCACATTAGCACAGAGACGCAATTGTCACTTCATATCCCATAATACACTACAGATAATAGAAGTATTAGCAGTAATCGCAGAGATTAGGATTCGAGGATATTATTCAAGAAGTGTAATTTAGTGAAATAAATTTGAAAAGACAATCAAAAAAGGTGTAGAGGAATACAGAAGATTATAAATTTGAGAGAACACAAAAAGCAGATGCACCAGCGCCATTGCATACGAATTTGAGCCGTGTCATTCACAATCTCTAACAAAGACTTCATAGATTGGTGCTATATCTTGATTTGGTTGCCCTTAGCTTTCTTCCAACCTACTCCTACACCACAAAGCGTAACTCGTCGAGGCAGTTAGTGGTTAGGCATAAATCAGGTTACAAAAGTAACAATATAATGTCAATAATAATAATTTCAACTTACACATTTGAAATCATCAATCAATCATTGTTAGACCACCATTCGAAACCTGGAAGCACTTACAGACGGCCGCTTCGTCCTGGTATGGGACTCATCAGCAGTGCACATCCACGACTCCTGCTCCTCTCAGGATTCGAACCCGGGACCTTCGGTATTGTGCGCGGACGCCTAATCATCGGACCACTGGGCCGGCATCCAACGGTGTTAATGTCTAACTATGATTGATCTAGGAATTTCGCGCGAACTCACCCATTTGTCTTTGGTAGTTACTGCCTACACCCGAAGATCCTGGGTTCGAGTCCTGCGAGGAGCAGGAGTCGTGGGTGCGCACTGCTGGTTGTGAGTCCCATACCAGAACGAAACGGCCGTCTTTCAGTGCTTCCAGGTTTCTAATGGTGGTCATCTAACAATGATTGATTGATTGATGATTTCAAATGTGCAAAAAACACAAACCTCCAAAAACTCTGCCTCAACTTACTTTAGCCTTTAGAATATCTAATTGTATTTCCATAGCTGCAACATTTGATTTTTGACTGGATAATTGATATTGTAATTCAGTTAATTGTTCATCTTTTTGATAAATTTCACGTAATGCTAATTCACGTTCACCTCGTAGTGTAATACATTGACGTGTTAATTCATCCTTTTCCTTATCATGATATACTAATATTCATAATCATAAAAAAATATTTAGTCATTGAAGTTACAAAGGAGAAAAAAAATGGCATTAATTAATTCAGTGTTATGTTCATAATTCAATAATCTATTCAATTGAATGACACATTGGACATTGAATAGTGTAACTTTGTCTGACCTTGAAGTGTGTGTATTGTAGCCTCGCTTCATATTAATCAATAAAAACATTGTCTTCTAGCTTCAAACAAAGGCAATTGTTACTTTTATATTATCTTAGTCATGTTGTAGTGAACGAGAACACAAGGTGGGGCAACCGAATTGTATTTAACGAAAATTACAGAGTTAATCAGTAAAATCGGAAAACCATATCGTAAATCGTTTTAATTTGCAAAATATCAGTTCATCATATCGAACTGGACTGTTCCTGTTGCAAAACATCAATCCATTGTCACTACTATTCATGCGTTTCATACAAATTCCATTGTTTTCTAACTCTTCCTTTCTTGATCTTCCCTCATCTTCCGCTGCCAGACATTACGTTGACACTCACGTCATATACTACTTATAAGTAGCTCGCACCACAATGTTATTTGACAAAATATTCATTGAATTGTTTGCAACATGTGTTTTCTTCAAAAAATGACTTTATTTGTTTGAAATTAGTAGAATAAAGGTGTATTTTCTTTTAAGAATTTGTTTGTAGTTGGATAATAAAAGTTGTTGATGTTTATAGGTAATACTGCGGTGGAAGTGGAAAGGACACACATTGCGAAAGCACTTAACTGCGTCACAAGACAAGCACTCACATGGAACCCTCTAGGCAAAAGGAAAAGAGGAAGGCTAAGGAACAGATTACGCCTAGAAATAGAGAAAGATATGAGAAGAATGAGCAAAAATTGAAGAGAAGTGGAAAGGGATGCCCAGGACAGAGTCGGTTGGAGAAAATTGGTGGTCGGCCTATGCTCCATTGGGGAGTAACAGGCGTAAGTAAGTAAGTAATACTGGTGAGATTTAAAATATCTATAGGAAAGGTTAATCCTATAATCTTTAATTATTGTATGTCATCTTTTAGATGCTCAAATTATAATGAACACGAAATTGAATTAAACGACTTCACAATGCACTTCAAATAAAAAGCTTTAAAAATCTGGGAAGCATCGTTATTAAACAAAGTGAATCTGACGTGAATGTGAAGGTGTGGATCAGCAAAGCAGTGGAAACATTTCCAAAATTGAATAACATTTGCAACTTAAAACAACTATCAACCAACACCAAAGTCACAATTTTCAATATAAATATCATGACAGTTCTACTGTATGGGGTGGAAACTTGGATAATTACGTAAGCTATCATCCGGAAGATACAATTGTCTACTAACTGAGCAGCCTTTGACCAGATACGATGAGAGAGAACAAACCAGATACCAAGATAGGTGGAAATTGGGAGAACGTGCTGAAGGTGGATAGGACACAGATTGAAGAAATTACCCAACTTCATCACAAGACCAGGCCGAAGGAAAACGGGGACACCAAAGAACATATTACACCGAGAATTGGATACAGACATGAGATGAATGGACAACAGCAATAGAGTGGAACTGGAAAGGATGACTCAGGACAGAGTATGTTGGAGTATGCTGATTTGTATATATTAGCTACATGGCATTAGAACAAAAAGAATTCCAAATCAGATCATGTACATTTTGTGTGCGTCTAGAAAGCATATGACATAACTTTATTCTTCTAGTATTAGCTTAAATAAAACATTCTTATTAGAATTCTGTATTTGGTTTTAAATTACAAAATTGAAAACAAAAATCTCAGATAATTTGTGTGATGTTGAAATTTTAATGATCTGTTGAATTATTAGTAGCGCGTCTGTATCATAAAACATCGAATCGATGCCTGTTTTTCTACGGATTTTATGTTGAGTGTAAACTGGCTTACTGAATATACAAGTCTGTTTGTGTGATGGAATTTTGTTCTCTGAGTTGGATGCTTTGGTTGTGGAGATTTCATTGTTCTAATGAACATCATCATCAGCACAAATTTCAGATAGAAGTGAATTAGCCGAATTTCCCCACGTTTGACCTGTAGCTTATTCTGTTAATCTCGGTCTTTATTGGCTGCTATTGACATTAAACCTATCGTTGTCTTCGCCTTTATTTTGATTGTATCCCGAGTTGATTAGGTTCTTGTTCTTATGCTTGTCTATGGTTTTTCTGACTGGTTGATAAATTGAGTTGATGTTGATTACTGACTGACTTGAGTGCCAAGCTGCTAAAAATTCTCTACGTGTTCACTCCATCTAGTATTTCAACATTATCCCATTCGAGTGCATATCCACAGTTGTCCGTATGTATTGATATAAAGTAAGAAATGTCATGGCGTTTGATTGCTAATCGATGTTCATGTAGACAAAGCTGAAGAGGACGTCCACTTTGTCCGATATAGCATATTTCACTGTATGAATTGTTTATTTTGTAGATGATATTCGGTATTTCTTCATTTGTCATTTTGTCGTTTGGTTTACATAGGATTGATTGAAGTGATTCTGTTGGTTTGTGTGCCACACCTATTCCAAATGGTTTCAGTAGTCGTACTGTATGCTCCGATATGTCTTTTATGTGTGGTAGGATGATCCGTTTATTGATTTCTGTGCTAGATTTCGCTTCTGTTGATGATTTCGGTTGATGTTTTTTGATGAAGTTGCGTGGATAGCCATTTTATTGGAAGATAGTCACAAGGTGTTTTTCCTCATTTTTTAGTGCTTCGTATGCGCTGCAGTGTCTTCGCTCTCTTGAACAAAGTTTGTATGCACTTGATTTTGTGGGTTCTTGGATTGTTGCTACCGAAGTTGGGAATTACGTCTGTGTGTGTTGGCCTCCGCAATACTTGAGTTTCCAGTTTTCCTGTGTTAGTTCTGGTGATTAGTACATCCAAGAATGATAGACTGTTGTTTGATTACTTTTCCATCGTAAATTTTAAGTCATCAAAGACGTTGTTGATCTGATTGTAGATGTTCTCCAGCTCGTTCTTTTTGACGATGACGAATGTGTCGTCTACACAACGAACCCGCATTTTTGGCTAGATCACTGTTAAAACCAACAATTCTAGTCTCTGCATCACGGCTACTGCGATAAGTGTGTGTATGTGCATGTTCCTTTCGTTTGTTCATAGATTTTGTCGTTGAATTGCAAATATGCTGTTAAGCGTAAATTGAGACTTTGACTCTCAAGTTTCGTAAATACTTTGGGAGAGTTGTATCATTAGTAAGGAGCAAGGATAGAGTTTCTTCCTCAATACTTAGTTCGATTGATATGAATAAGACTGTTACATTGAAGAATATCATCAGTTCGTTGTTGTCGATTTGAATCTCTTTAAAATTTATCCAAGAATTGTATGGGAGATTTAATGAAGTGATTATATGAATCCACCTAACGTTTTACCTATCGGACACTTCATGTCACAACAAGGTCACACAGTGAACTAGTGGACGCAATTCAGTAAAATATACAAAATTAATGATTTCATGTAGTGAAATTGTTGTTTCCAACTACCTCACAATATTTTCATCAGTTTTTTCTTGTGTACAAGTTGCACCAACTCTTTGTCATATAACCAATCACTCAAGTACCAAAAAACTAAATATCTTCAATCATGTCATTTAAATAAAATATTGAAATTACATTCAAATTATGTACTTAATATTTGTCGGCTATAAATTATCAACATTCATGCAAAAGAGTAGATCTTACAACGTAAATTGGCCAAATGAAACCTCATAAAACTGTTAGGATATTCATCTAATATCCTAAGAGAATTATAATTGGTCAATTCTTATTGGTTAATTCCTACTGGTCAGTTTTATGGTCGTCCTAGTACATATCAATGTCACATGCTCCAATGTTGTTTCTTATTGGTTATCCTGACTATCAATCTCACTTCAAATATTACTTCCTATTGGTCGTCTTAACTGTCAATGTGTCACAGACTTCGATGCTGTTTCCTATTCGACCAAATTGTATAAATACGCATTATCTGCAACATTTTATGACCACGACCAGGACCAGGCCTCAGTCCCGGATCCCTAGTCCGGGATCCTGATTTTCTTCTGGATTCGGACCTCGTACTTTCTGAATGCTTGTAGAATACAGGTTCTACTTCATATCATATCTTCTTATTTTAACTAAATATGAGGGTTGGGATAATTGGATTTGAGTAATATGTCGTGTCACCGGATCCTCGATCCTCGCTCTCGTTTTTCGACTAAGGTATACTCGTAATAGTTCAAGTATATCAAGTTGACGTGTTTACGTGCAGGCGTAACATATGGCACATTAATATAATCTTAACACTGTTTGGGATTACATCAAAAATTGTATTTGAACAGCGGAAATTTCTTAAAATATTTGAGAATAATAATGATTGATAATCAAAATTGACAAGCACGTAATAATTTTTATCTTACGAATCAGTAATACAAACTGAAAATGATTATATATCATAATTTTCATGAACAATCAGAAATCGATGAAAATTCAATTGGTTATACCATCATTAGAAACCTGGTCGTGCAAAATATGTACATTGATCTGAGTTGTTAGACATCAACGCTGTTGGATGCCGGCCCAGTGGTCCGATGTTTGGGCGTTCGCCCACAATAACGGAGGTCTCGGGTTCGAATCCTGCGAGGAGCATGAGTCGTGGATGCGCACTGCTGATGAGTCCCATACCAGGAAGAAACGGCCATCCAGTGCCTCCAGGTTTCTAATGATGGTCATCTAACAATGATTGATTGATGATTTATTTCATCAATGTGCAAAATACAACACTAATCTCCATAACTTTAATTGAAAAATAACTTAGTTTTTATTCAACTTTAATAACAAATAAATAGAGTAGTCTCTCTCACAAATAAAGAAGTACACAAAAAACATGCAAGTAAAAGTTTGAAAAAGTTCAATGCTTAAAAATCATGAACACATGATTTCATAGTTTTGTACTGTTGTTATTAGTTACCAAATG